CATTCAGCAGATTTAACAGATAAAACTCTTTATTATCAACTGATACGCGTAATGAATGATCCAGTAATGGACCATTATGGATCTTAACGTCTTCTGATATGGAGGGGTCTTGCAGTAAAAAAAGGCTTGACTCTACCGAAGAGTAGCATTTGTAAGGAGTTTCATACGAAGCTTATAAGCTTCAGATAAGTATCGAACTTGGTAAAGAGTTTTGTTAATAGTTGTAAGATTTCGTGCAAGTTACAAATTAATTTAAAAATGTACTCGCAGAGTTTCGAACCAACGGCTGTTTGGCGGAACGTAGCGAGTCGTCTTGTACACCTTTAACGTTAGGATGGTCGGTAAAGTACCCCCCGAGGTACTTTACCATTAGGATGAAAATTTCCTTAAAAATATAGCTTGTGAAAGCCGAGCGTCCTAACAGCCTGTTTTTGAGGATAAAGGCATCCTAATACCCTAAATCCTAACGGTAAGGATCCTAATGTCCTAAAGTCCTAACCCAACCTAAGGAAAGGGCCCTTGTGAACGCCATTTATCCTTAAATTGCATCCTAATGGGTTAAAATCCTAACATTAGGATGCGTGTGAAATAGGCCCCGTATCTCGCCTTGGTATACCGTGTTAAAAGAAACCGTTGTTAGATGTGTTGTTAGATATGTTGTATACCGTGTTCAATGGTAAAACACGTGTTATATATCTTCACCATGGTATGTTACATAACGCCGTTCAACAGTGTTTCACTGTGAAAATTTAATTTTCACATCATTGATAACTCCGTGAACAAAAAGCATAAAAGCCCAGGAAAAGTTTCATCGAATTATCTGCATGCAAAATATTAGTTGAATGCACAGGCCTCGAGAACTTCCAAAAGGTCATGGAAACGCGCGATACACACGGCCCGGTACTTTACCACATTCGCATCGTTCTGTTTAGTCGCCAGAATATCCTACAAGAAAAAACACTGCTTTTTCTCACTCTATGATTTCTTACCATCAGAGATGACTTGAACTCAGCAAGGGTCTCTATTTCATGATGGCTTAGTTGCTCTGTGAGCCTTACAATTTCACTTCGAAATGGACCGGCGAACGACGACAGCTTCTTGCAGATCACCTGCAAGATTACTCTACTGAGTAGTGATTTCCCCGCTCGGCCTCAAATACCAGTAACGGTTTTGAACATGACACTTTCTTTTCAATGTACATTATCAAGTCATTATATATATGCGTTGTTCAAGATTCAGTTAAAACTCTCAACTTCGTCAACGAGAAACGCGGACTTTCCAAACTTGGCTAAGGAGAAAATTCGCTCCCTACATCAAAGTATACAAAGTATCGGTGACAGTGTGGAGAAATATGCACATGGTCAACTACGTATGTTGGTGACAATATTGAAACTCTGAGGAGCTTTTTATTGGTTTATGTACATTTCTACCCAAATTTGTATATGAACTCCTATAATTGGCGAGGAGACTCCCGAACTCAGCTGAGGAGAGCGAACGTATATTCCAACACTGATCGATCAAATTCGTCAACGCTAGGACGGGTCGAGGAGATGAATTACAGATTATTGATGGAGTTCCACCCGTGATATGAAAACCCTAGTGAAAAACATAGTTCACAGCTCCCTCCGCGATAGTTGTGTTTTCCATCGCGGAAACATATGAGCCCTATAATTTACATGGAGTATTATGCCACTATGATAACCAAGAACAGTATGGCCAACAACACTATGATGACCAACAACACTATGATGACAAACAACACTATGATGACAAACAACACTATGATGACCAACAACACTATGATGACCAACAACAGTATGATGACCAACAACACTATGATGACCAACAACACTATGATGACCAACAACAGTATGATGACCAACAACACTATGATGACCAACAACAGTATGATGACCAACAACAGTATGATGACAAACAACACTATGATGACCAACAACACTATGATGACCAACAACAGTATGATGACCAACAACAGTATGATGACAAACAACACTATGATGACCAACAACAGTATGATGACCAACAACAGTATGATGACAAACAACACTATGATGACCAACAACAGTATGATGACCAACAACACTATGATGACCAACAACAGTATGATGACCAACAACAGTATGATGACCAACAACACTATGATGACAAACAACACTATGATGACAAACAACACTATGATGACCAACAACACTATGATGACCAACAACAGTATGATGACCAACAACACTATGATGACCAACAACATTATGATGACCAACAACAGTATGATGACCAACAACACTATGATGACCAACAACACTATGATGACCAACAACACTATGATGACCAACAACACTATGATGACCAACAACACTATGATGACCAACAACAGTATGATGACCAACAACACTATGATGACCAACAACACTATGATGACCAACAACAGTATGATGACCAACAACAGTATGATGACCAACAACAGTATGATGACCAACAACAGTATGATGACCAACAACAGTATGATGACCAACAACAGTATGATGACCAACAACACTATGATGACCAACAACAGTATGATGACCAACAACAGTATGATGACCAACAACACTATGATGACCAACAACAGTATGATGACAAACAACACTATGATGACCAACAACACTATGATGACCAACAACAGTATGATGACAAACAACACTATGATGACCAACAACAGTATGATGACCAACAACAGTATGATGACCAACAACACTATGATGACCAACAACACTATGATGACCAACAACACTATGATGACCAAGAACAGTAATAAAATCCCAACCCACCATCGCTCCGCCTCTCCACGCCTCCCTCACAGCCTCAATACTCTCTCGATGGCCTCCCAAGACCAGATACAGTACTTCCACCAATGGCTTAGATAAGCCCTGGTTCGCCAAGAACTTCTCCAAATTCAAATTGAACATGATCTCATCCGATGCCCTCGCGGATGCCATCACGTCCGAGAAATGACGCCTCTCCCTCATCAACGCTTCCGCTTGGCTCTTAGCCTCTGGACACGTCTACAAACTCAACGATGTTTGCACACCAGCAAACGACTATCAAACGATAAAGGTCGTCTGATATCACTAAGTGTAATTCGGATGACACCAACAAAATGTCCTCACCAACGAATACACTACGCGACATGAGAAACGCGTAATTCTTCTCACATAAATTTTTTCCTCAAAAAAACATCAATTTTTTGACCTAACATACCATGATAAAAGCCAAGTCGCGCACTCCAAACTCTGAAAATGTCTTCCCCAATTTTTTTAAATCTATTCACAGCGTATTCGACTTACTTCCAGAGTGAATTCATGTTGTAGCCCGCCACACAGTGCAATAATAAGACCAAGTCTTATCCCTTCTGGAGGCGACGTGGTCGTGCTGCCATAATGAGTAAGCACCTCCTTATAGTGCTCCACTGCTTCCTGTGTGAAGCCTTGTAGCAAGAACAGTTCCCCTCGAATACAGTTGGCCTCCTAAAACCAAATGATATACTCAGAAACACTCTACTGTAGATGCTTCC